GATTTATATTTATGGGGGAGGAAATGGGGATCAGGGAACAGAGGGAATACTGTTGTGATGTCCCAGCATGCCCTCACACCACCTGTATGTGGGAGCTGTAGCCTTCAAGCATGCACTATCGATCAAATTGCTCAAACTCATCCATGGATGAGTACAAATACAAATTCCTTGAACTCGTCCATGGAATGTGGGCATCATGGATTGACTGGATAGCCCACCACCATATCACTGAACACGCCTACTCTGTACTCGTCATGGACACCGCCCACATTCCAAGTGGGTTTGGACCCATGACGTTGTATACTGCCGCCTCCAAAGTAGGCATGTCTATGCTGATGAAGGGACGTAATTCTCCAGGCTTCCCACGGCAATGGGTAATGTTTATTAGACTACCTAATTAACATATAGCCATGCTAGTCCCACGTGGTGATAGCCTATTGGTGTTCTCTCCAATTTAATTAAGCACACACCTCTGTGGGAGGTCTTGCTATACTTTGAATTAAGAGTATTGGATAAGACACTATTATGCACCATCCCTTGACCTGCTGATTTCTATCTAGCTAATGTATTATAGGGTATTTAAACATACTCCCTGATGAGACAGATCACTTTTCCCCTGACGACAGCGTTGTAATACGCTGAAACGCGCGTCGGCTCTATTTTATTTTCATTATGCACTTTTTCACTTGTTAGGTAGCACTGCACTGTGTTTTTAAGTTATCTTTACATGGTTCTTGGTTCAGTTAGGCATTAGCCTAGTGCGGTGCTGAGGTATTAGGGACAGATATATATTCTTTATGGGGTATGGTGGGTATGGTGGGAACCTAGTATTGATCTTTTTTTTTTTTTGCATTTTTGCTTTTGTTATCATATTTGCCTTTGGGGCTTCTCTGTCTCTCCTATACTCTGCTCTCAATCTCCAATTAGTTGATATCCACTAAAAGAGCTGCTTACACATTTTTTCTTAGTGAGATGCAGACCATCCCCTTGTGTCCCCTATCTACTCCTTATTAGTTTCTGCTTGGCAGAAGGATATCCCACCTAAGACGAACGCTTTATGTACTCCTTATCTGTCTTATAGGGCTAATACCCTTACCCGGCACTTTTTCCCTATTTAGGACCTTCTGTTAGATTTAGAACCTCTTTTTTTAGATTTAATAAAGGTTTTTTTTTTGCTACTAATCAACTTTAGGTTGTACTATTTTCCATATGTCCCCTCCACTGGAGTGGATGCCTGGGATATTGTTCCCTTATTTTCTTATTTCTAGTTGTTAGGGTTACCCCCTGAAATACTAGTACAACCAGGTGATCTTTCTTTAACTAGGGGATAGGGTTAGGTGTTTACCCTAGTCTATGTCGTTTTGGCTGGTGGAGTGTCATTTGACCTCATTTTCAAGCTGTTCCATCTTATACAGATACTATACATTGTGCAGATATTGAAAGGGAGACAGAAAAGGGTAAATTGATATTTCAACACAAATATGCAGTTACAGCAGATGTGATTGTAACCTTTAATAATGCAACTTAAAGGACCACTATAGGTACTCAGACCACTTCAGCTTAAAGGAGGAGGAGAGTGTTTAACCCCTTCCTCCAACTTCAGCCCAGCGGGAGGGGGGCCATGAGGGTGGGGGCACCCTCAGGGCACTAGAATGCCAGGAAAATGAGTTAGTTCTCCTGGCACTATAGTGGTCCTGTAAGCATAATATGATTTTAACACTTACAGTCTATGAGATGGGGCAAATGGGTCTGCCCCATCTGCAGGGGACTTTTAAATTCAACCGTTTGCACATTTGTCATTGTGCCTCCCACTTAAAAACCGAGTGTAAAGTCAGAGTCCACACTCCTTGCTTTCGGCAATTAAATAATATTTATTAATAAAGGCTTAATCAAACAAATAAACAATACATATACATTTGAAATAGGCTAGTATATGTTGCTACTAAAACTAATCATTGACTGAATGGAAAGTAGGCTAAACTAACATAGTAAAACAGGCATAGACACGTGATACAGTTACCACTCCATGGATCAGCAGCTGAGAGTAAGAGAGAGAGGGTGTGTATAGTGGGGAGAGGGGAGAGAGGAGAGAGAAGGTGAAGAGAGGTAATTCAAAGAGAGAGAGAATGTGCTATTCACAGGGCTTTAAACAGGTTAGCCCCTCCTTCTGCTGGACACACCTCCCTTAGTCAATCCCTTAGGATGTAACAGAACCAGAGTGTCTCCTGGGGGAAGGGGGATTGCATTGGAAGGGAATGGAGGAGGAGTTTATCAACAACCCAACTGATTTTGCCTGGTGAAAGGCCATGTGCTGCACAGAGGACTCCATTATTGCCTAAGGGTAGAATGGGGGCTTGAATCCCTGTATTAGAACACAATAACACTTCATTGGCATACAGTTTGGCTGTTAATCACATCCCCCCACTTATTACATCCCTCCTATTGGCAATGAAGTGGATGAGACACTTAGACTCTATAAAACCCATCAGAGATAAGAGAGAGAGATAATGCATCCTGCAGTGTATCTACTTATGTGAATGCACAACCCATTGTCACAATAGAGCTCTTTCCATTTACATATCATATTGGAGATGATATACTGTGGCAATCAATGACTTCAAGTAACAACACATACCAACCAAATTAAAAATGCATACTACAGAAAACACACAATACAATAATAAATGGGTGAATTAACAATACATTTTCCACGGCAGTACCCCATGATGATTGGTTTCGGAAGTGAGTTGTTTTTTTTTTATTTCTTCCACCAGGTAGTACTAGCCATGTCAATACTACTAAATGTTCAGTTACTTAAAGTTCTTGTTGTTGATGAAAGAACTCAGCACAGGTTTGTTGATCCTTCTGTGTCCAATCCTCCATTAAAGTATTGATAGTTCTCTGAATTTAACACCCTCAGACTGGAGTGTTGCAGTCATACTATATATCAATTATATTTACAAAACCCAACCCAGTACCCACACCTCCCAGAACCGTACCCAAGACAACCCTCCTATTCCTAGTTCTACTTCTTTTCACCCATCTGACTAAAACCTTATTAATAGTGGATGTGACCCTAGAACAGTTCTGAAAGTGTGATGAAACTAGCCAATCTGTTAGTCGAATCAATTGGAAAGTAACATTCCTAACTATAGGGGTAGGACTCAGTGAACATATTTGGAAATTACCACTAGAGACCACTCTAATCTTCTGACACTCAGGTCTGCTCCCATTATCCATTAGTGAAGGAGTTGTATGAATATAGGTGAAAGGAGGAGTCAGGATTGTAGGCTCTATCTCTTCCTCTACATTCAACAAGACCTTCACTTCCCCACCCCTATTGTGTCTTACTGTTCCCCAATTTATCCCCTTTATGATTAATGCATCCACTATAATTAGTGTTATATGATACTCTCTAAGATTGCTGTTAACATTATAACTAGGGTTAGTAACATTTCATAAAATTTCATTTCATATTAATATTTCCTCCCTCCAGATCTACAACCCAATTTCCCAACCAGTCCATATTCATTCCCATTTTCCTCAACCAGCCCATATACATTCCCATTTTCCTGAGCCAGTCCATATACATTCCCAATGTTCTTAATTTCCCTTATTGTCTTTTCCAAAATCCCTTGAAAGAATCACGTTGCTTTAGCCAAACAATCTTGACCGCCCACCCAAAATTAATTGTCACATCTACATATGGAACTTGTAGATTGTCACTGCTGTCCTCTGTTAAGTCTTTGGTAGATCGAGCTGCATTTGCATAGATACAGCTGTTGTTGCTTTGGCCTGTGACAAGCTGTTCCATCACTTTCCAGGTGAGTTTTAACATGTTGAGTGACATCCATGTCTCGGTACTTTTGGAAAAAATCTGTAAGAGATCAAGAAGGCGTATCAGTTCTTAGCAGATAACTCTGTACCTGGGGAACAAGCCCCTTTATATAATTTACGTTGGTCTACATGGACTGACTTATAGGATTACATAGGGCTCTTCCCAATTTGCATTCCAGGGATAATTTTGATAAAATGTTTAATCTTTATTACGCCTACCCCCCCTTTCTCAAACAGAGTTTGAGGAGTAGATACAATTTTACAATTTGTTGGGGCCATATATGAGACCCCCCTTGGACAGTGTAAGTGCACCTATGAAATCATTCTGTATTGACTTCCAGGGGCTGTCTGCAACTGGCACTCTCTGATGCATAGGCCTTTGTTGCTTAGGGCATGGATATACTTTAACATAATAACCCTTCTTTTATAGAATGACCACTTTGAAGTTTTTGATGGTTCTGTAATAAAAGAGAAAGATTAGAATTCCTATTCAGTTCTGCTTTTAAATCTGGCACTTCTGAACCTTGATCAACAATCTTGGCTATCCGTAATTAGTTCTTTGCATGTGAAGTGCTCCTCCCATGCTTGTTGTACCTCAGGGTCTTTTACATGTAAATGCCATTGATCTCCATCTAAGACAGCCTCCTTTGCTAACAAATTCAATTGTACATTTGAATGAGTGTTTACTGCTGACTGGAGGGGTGCTTTAGTCCCCATTCAACCAGTTTCCCAAGATTCCATAGGGACAGAGAGTTTGATCTGGTGGCATAAGCAATGTCACTATGGATACAAATAGGGCGTGTGCCAAATTCCTTTGAAAAAATTACAAGTCCCCCCCAAAAAAAACTTCTTCAAGGATTGCTTGTTAAAAGGTCTGGGGACTTGTAAGATTGCTATCACTCTTTAATTGGGCAGCTGTGATAGCTACTCCCAAAAATTGTACCTTTTGTGTGAGCAACCTTTGAAGTGTTTAGCTTGCCTCCAGGATTATGCAATTAAGTAAAAAAAAATTCCATTAATAAATTCATATGTTATTGTTTTGCCCCAGAAGGGAGACTTAGTGATAGGTCAGTAAGTCTCACTGAAGCTCCTGTGTTAGTCCAATTCTTAGTCTGTTGCCTTGCCATAATTTCATTCACCTAAGGGCGTCCTGCATGGTCCATAAATGTGTTACAAATAGGAACCATGCCATCCAGTTATAGTTATTCCAAAAATGAAATCAGAGGAACTTCACCCTCTTCATTCATTTTAGAATTGCTAGTCACTGTTCCCTGTACAGTCATCATTCTCAGAGCCTCCCGTGCAGGACCATATAGATTGGTCTTAGGCAGGGGGTGAGAATGGCGTCCCTGACCTGTTTTATCCGGGGGTTTATTTCGGTCAATCTTATCATGTACCTTTTGATCTATTCTTTCTTTGAAAGGCCCAAAGGGGTAAGCATGCCATCCCTCAGTCATCCTTTGATCTATCTTTGCCTTTCTACACTCACTCTGTCTATGACCACTTCTGTTGCAGTAATAACAAGTCCCTCTGAATGGAATCTCTGGGAGAGCTTGCCTCCCTTCATTAGTAGCCATAATTGCAATATTGTGATGTCCTGTGACACCTTTCCTAATTAAATTTTGTCTAGCTTTTCCTATAATAGTTAGAACTCCTTCCAGAGTGTCTTTTTCCTCTGCTATCATTTGCACTCCGGGATCTAAATAAGTGATTTTTTTTATCAGGTATTGCAGTAAATCAGGAGGGGTTTGGTCTTGTGGTATACGGTGGGTTAATCTGTACACTTGTTCAAATTTAGATGCAAAAACCCAAGGATCATCCTGTAAGTGTACCTTCATTTCAGCGAGTGAATGACTGTCTAAATCTCTTTCTCCAGTAATCAATTTGGAGATTGCTCTAAGCCTGTCTCCTTCTGTCCCCCATTTGTCTTCTTTGAACCAGTCTTGATCCCGATTAATGGGCCCATTTATGGGGGAATTTAATCTGCATGCAATGCTGCTTGGTGCCCACATTTTAAGCATAATACATGCCTCTTTAGGAGAGAGCATATATTGTTTGACTGCAGATTCAAAGTTGGACATGTTTGAAATTACATCTATTTTGCAGTCATATGGGGGGAAAAGGGATCTTAACTTAACAAGCTGTTTCATTACTTTATCCCTATCTTGCTGCTGCAGAATTTTAGCAGTCTGCAGGGTGGCAGATGCCCTGCTTTTAACAGTCGGTGTAATGGACAAAGGGTCCCTAAAAGGTGATGCTGTTGGTTTAGTTATATGGGGGGTTAATACCGGAATACCACTAATATCAAACCCATCCAGTACAAGGTTTCCCCTGTTTACCCCTTGGTCCTCATTTTCTGCAATACCAGATGCCCCTTCTTCCTCTGCACACATATCCCCATGGCCACATACAGCAACTGGGGTTTGTGCAGCTAAACCTGTTCTAAGCGATGAAATTAGCTCTCCTCTCGCTTCATAATTGTCCTCTAATGTACTTACATATTCTGCATTTAAGCCACAAGTTGGACAATCACTATATTTCTGAGTACTACTTTGTATACAAGCCACAGTAGTGTGCCCCAGAAGTATCCGATTTAATTGATTTCTTAATAACAGCAACAATTTCATGCAATTTTGGATTTTCTGTTTATCCTTATTCAAACACCATTTTTTATTATCTACTCTCACATTCTCTTTTTCGCATTGTAACCACATGCTATGCATTTTCTTAAATTCATTTTCATTTTCAAACATTAGTGGATCGAAACTGCTAGACGCTGCATATTCTGCTACAATTTCCATTCTTAAAATAAAGCTAAAAGTACTTACACGATTTGTGTCTTCAGACTGCAGGCAAATCAAATGGTGTGCACCCCACTTTGAATCCTTGGTCTGGCTATCTCCGATCCTCCAGAAGTGATGGCCGGCTTACAAACTGCGTCTCACTCTGGTTGCCTCTGTAGGATCCCGCACGTCCTGGCCCTGGACGTATTGCCGAAAACGCTCACAAAAAATAAAACAAAAATTGGTTCGGTTATTTTGTCCCCTTTTATAGCTCACATGTATCTGGAGAAGACTGGATTGTTCCCCCCTTGCAAGTGAGCTTAAAAGGTGGTAGAAAATAATAACATGGCTCGCCAAATGTAATAAACGTTTAACTCACAAGTTGGAATAAACTTGGAATTAATAATAACATTAATAACTAAAAATAATAACTTAAAATAATAACTTAAAAACCGAGTGTAAAGTCAGAGTCCACACTCCTTGCTTTCGGCAATTAAATAATATTTATTAATAAAGGCTTAATCAAACAAATAAACAATACATATACATTTGAAATAGGCTAGTATATGTTGCTACTAAAACTAATCATTGACTGAATGGAAAGTAGGCTAAACTAACATAGTAAAACAGGCATAGACACGTGATACAGTTACCACTCCATGGATCAGCAGCTGAGAGTAAGAGAGAGAGGGTGTGTATAGTGGGGAGAGGGGAGAGAGGAGAGAGAAGGTGAAGAGAGGTAATTCAAAGAGAGAGAGAATGTGCTATTCACAGGGCTTTAAACAGGTTAGCCCCTCCTTCTGCTGGACACACCTCCCTTAGTCAATCCCTTAGGATGTAACAGAACCAGAGTGTCTCCTGGGGGAAGGGGGATTTCATTGGAAGGGAATGGAGGAGGAGTTTATCAACAACCCAACTGATTTTGCCTGGTGAAAGGCCATGTGCTGCACAGAGGACTCCATTATTGCCTAAGGGTAGAATGGGGGCTTGAATCCCTGTATTAGAACACAATAACACTTCATTGGCATACAGTTTGGCTGTTAATCACATCCCCCACTTATTACACTCCCAAAAATAATAAAATTCCTTCTTGATACTTCTTGCTAACCAGCTCTTCCCTCCAATCAATATTTAAATAACTTATCTAGCTAACTACAGAATATCTATTTCCTTTACTAGAAGAAGGAGAAATAAAAACAACAAAAAACATTGTACCCGATTTTAAAAGAAACTGTTGTGGTTGTAGAACACGGTTCTTCTGCTGTAGGAGAAATCTTTCTTGAGGATACTGTAACAGGTAAATCTTCTATTCATAAGGTTGTTTTTTTTTAGTATTGCAGCCACTTCTGCCCTTTCTTTTTTGTCGATCAGTTTTTTATTGCGGCACAAATTTAACAAACACTGGTAATATGTCAGTGAAATATCTAGGCACAAATAGTTAGTAGCATTATAGTATAACACGTACATTGATTTATGACAATTGAAAATTGCAAGATAGTATGGCACATGCTGTAATTTTACCACAAGACAGGAGGCATATCTTTCTTTACTCAAAACTCCAGCAGCATAGAAACATAACAACCAATCAGAAAAAGTTATGATGCCCATAAAAGGCCCTGTCTATGACATCACTTCCTCTTTCTTTGCTGCTCCAGCCAACATCAGGTCAGAGTATTTTGCCTCCCTGGCAGTTTCTTAATGTACTCTGTTTGTTTGATTGTATATTGCCTTATATATTGCTTTACATATATTTTTTGGTTATACCTGCTACCTTGGCCCCCCTTATCCCTGTCCCTCCACTGTATGTCTGTGTTCCCCCCTTGCTAGTTTCTACTGTTCTGCCTGGTAACCGCGAGCGCAACGACTTTCCGTGTCGCGCGCGCCTCGCGGGCCGGCCCCCCTTCTAATTTCACAGGGGACTGTATGGGGACGGGAGGAGGGAGGCTGGGGTCCACGTTTTTCTGTGCTTCTAGCCCTCGTTCGCGCTAGCGATCGCGGACCGCGGCGCACCTTCACACGCGGGCAGCAGCCATCTTGGATTTCGCGTCTCGCGAGATACCGGACGGCCGCCTTCCCCGCTCGCTCAACGGATCGGAAACTCACCCGACCGCCGGGCTCCACATGTGTATGTCCTCCCTAGTGTGCACTGGAAGAGGACAAACTGGCTGGCACTATTGTTCTTCTCCATGTATTTTCTCCATGTGTTTTCTCCACTGTTACGTATATTGCCAGTGCCTGCCTCCTGTGTACTGCCACTATTGTAATCGCATGCATGCATTAAAGGAGACATAATAATTTTTCAAACACAGGACCTTTAGGTCTCCATGCCCTACTCAGGGTCCTACTGGATTACTATACCCTATATAGGGTCATCCAAGCTTACTATACCCTCCTTAGGGTTATACTGTATACTACTATACCCTTCACAGGGTCATAATATATTGCCTTACCCTGCAGGGGCACGCCACATCGATATATCCTGCACAAGATCTTACCATCTTACCGTCCCTACCCAGGGACAGGCTGTCAATACGCCCTACACTGGGTTTACCATATTACTGTACCTTACCGTACAAATTGAATGTGGGTGTCCTCTGGGTAATTTTTCATGGCACACCACCTGGGGTGACCCCCCAGATATGCATGCTCGGTCACTCACTGACCTTTATCATTGATGTGGGTGTCCTCTGGTATACCACGGCACACCACCCGGGGTGAACCCCGATTACATGCACGGAGGCCTATGCCTCAGCTTATCATCAATTACCTGGAGACCGTGCACCCAACTGTGATACAACTGTGGCGAATCGCTGACACTGCATGTACTAATACATCATCACATCTCCCCAAAACTTGACGAGTCATGGAGGACACTCAGACCAGCCAAGATTTCCAGGCCATGATTAATGCCGCAGTGGCGGCCTTGGTGGAGAAGGCCCTACTGAGGGCACTACCCCAAAGCCAGGGCGACACTAGCCCCCCAGAACCAGTGGAGGCCTCGGGATCCGAACTCTCTAAGGCTAAGAGACAAAGGAAGGGTTCCCCCCCGTCTTGAAAGACCAAAGGCAAATTGCCCGCTAAACGGAGTAAGAGCACAGAACGACAACTGCCCACACCTCGAGCACTACTTTCCTCAGACGATGAGGATTCGTACGTACCACACGCATTAGACGTAGTGGACGAATGGCGTGGGGACGGCTCACCATCAGAGGAGGAAGAGTGGCAGGACCTACCCCCCACCTCCTCGAGATACGTCAAGGAGACCTTCCGCGGCGTAGACGAACGAGAAGAAGACAACACCTATGACAACAGAGCCGGGAAAACCGGAGACGGAAAGTTCACGGACGAACAAGGGAACCCATTGTTCGACCCTCGTACCATCCGGCACCCACGTTCTTCCGAATGGACACTACCAGACCACTTGACGGACTTCATACACTATTGGCTACGCAAGCCTCTGGAGAAAGAAGTACGTGCACGCCTCAGAGCCGAATGCCCCAGACCACTGATACCGGATAAAGTGGCGCTTACACCTGAATTTGATAATACGGTAGTAGTCTTTACGTCCCGTTCAGGACGAGACACGCGCAAGGGCGTAGAGAAAGGCATGAAGGCGGCACAGGACAAAGTGCTGGACCTACTCGGCCCCATCGCTAAAATACTATTTTTCGCAGATCTGGCACTCAGCCAGGGCTCCCAGCTTGACCCGAACATCATACGTGAATGGGCCCAACGATCAGTGTGCCTTCTAGGCAACGGCAACGCCGCACTGTGCACCAAAAGACGTAGGTCGGCGTTGATCCGTATAGACAGTAAACTCCTGGATCTAGGTGCACAAGGGCTCTTGTTTGGCGATGCCTTTATCTCGGAGCTTAAAAAGCATGTGAGTCTTTTCACCACCTTGAATAAGGCCCAGACCTCTCTCAAACAGGTTTTCCACAAC